TTAAAACACGAAATGCTGATGGTCAACTTCGTAGCTGACTGTGCTACACCCTTTGGTTGCAAAAACTATTGTTTTCTAATGCTTACAAAATTTTCTTGTTTCCCTAATCTCCTATCAACGCGGATTGTCTAGCTGGAAGTGTTCTGCTGGTTTTTTATTTAGAAAACCTATGCTTGGCCCCTACCCTGACTTACCCTTATCCCTCACATAGTCACTGATTGCATCCCAAATCGCTTTTATACCCTTCCTTTCTTCCCTCCTGCACCTCACAAGGCTCCTCCACCAGGCGGGTAAAGGAAACTGGGGGACTCGGTCTGCTCTGCCGCATCTCTCCCAGCAGGTGTCAGTGCCCCTCTGTACCTGCCACCTAAACAGCAGGCGGCTTTTCTTCAGGTTTGCTCTTTTGACGCTTCTCTTAGTGTCAGAGAGCCTGAAAGAGAGGACGTTTTCTAGCTTTCATCCCGGCAAGATCCATGCCAGGTCAGAATTAAGTTGCAGAAGGGCATCTGTCTGGGGGCTATACCCTTTGTCTTTGGAAATTCCTATGTCTATCTGAAACAGGCTGAAGTTAACCAAAGTATTCAATAATACAAATGTTTCAATCCAGCAAATTCTCTTCTCTTCATTCTGTCTCTCTTACCTATGCTGAAGGCCATCATTCGCAGGCAAAACAGGGAATAGGGAAACGTAGGTCACACAGGAAATGTGACTTTAAAGCAAATCAAGACATGTCTCTGCCCCACCATCACCGCACAAATTCTCACACGTGCTAACTTCTGCGCAAATCCTTCAGGCTCTGTTTTTACAGCTTCTGAGCAGTCAAGGGGTATGGAAAGGGGTGGCGCATTTGTTTCATTTTCAGCTACTCCAGTAGTAATTTCCAGAGCACTGGACAAGCCAGGTTAGAAAACACGTGCTTCAGATAGCAAGGTACCACATCCTCTTTGCATCGCCTTTCTAGGATGCTGGCCAGAAACCCATGGTCAACCATGACCACAGTCATCAGACGGTTCTTTTCCACAGTATTCTGGCTGCAGATTGGGTCCACTTTATAGTCTGCTTTCACAACCTCACTCCATTTTATTTCTAAGTAATGAGGAAAAGACAATCCCGTCATAGATTGTTACAACACTATCCGAAGATCACTTCTGCATGGAAATTTGGCTCTAATTTCCAAGTAGGAAGTTTGAAAGTTACAGATCATTCGTTGTTTAAAGTTAAACAGTCTTCATCTAATCCTTTTAAGTGCTTCTGATTGTAAATCAGTATTAGTCAAGTTTTCTCATTTTTGAAAGCTTTGCTAATCTAAATGCTAATTGTCATGGAACTCTGCAAGCCACAAATACACTTCTCACAGGTTTTCAAATGTCTGTTAAGCTTCTCTGTCACTCATTTTAGCCCTTGAAGATACTCCAAAACACAATGTCACATGATGTAGGTTGTGAGGACTTCCCAGTTGCATTCTGCCATATGTCAAATGATGTGCTTTTTACAATTACCGTATATAGCAAGTCATAAGAAGGTAACGATTTCCATGTTGCAGAACAATCAGGAAGAATTTTCGTCAGTACCTTTCTGTTTCCTTGCTGATTTAAAAATACTCATGAGATGTTAAAAATCAGCTTTTCTTCCCTCCAAAAGTCAAATCGCAATCGGGACTCTCCACCTCCAACGCAAAATTGCTCCAGTTTACAAGTCTTCTAGAAGGCTGTGCTTAAAGTAACAAGAAAACACCCACCTTTCTGAAAGGTGCTCAACAGATGATCTCTACATTGTCCTTAATCTTAGCATTCCTCATTTTCCCTTCTCTCCTGGCCTCTGCCAAACTTGTTTTTAGCATTATCAGGTCTTATGCCACTCTCGCCGATTTCAAAAGGAGAGAATAAATGCGAGTTATTTCTTCAACAAATAAAAGTTATTTCAAACATTGCGTTGGGCCATGTCAACTAAAAACCAAAATCCTGCTTGGGGACAGTTCCACAGCTCTTCAAGAAAGGCAACATGCTTTGGAGTACCCCAGCATAGACTGGAGCACCAGGTCGCAGTTTTCCTAAAGCACTCTAATATTACGTGTTTCACAAACTGGCCGTTCAGCAG